AGCTCGCCCTTCGATTAACCTTATCTAACGGATCGTTCTGACAAATCAACAACATATGGACACTACTCCATACCGACTAAGATTGAGTAATTACAATAAGCATTAACTAAAGATAAGATACTGTCAAAGCGGGACAAATATCAAAACAAGATCAATGGGAAATGAATCTGTTGGACTGGTTATTACACGATTCTACAATAGATTGAAACTACAAAAACCCAACATTAAACTACATCCAATCGTATCCATCCCTGAAATCCCGAAATAAAACTTATCAAGAGAAATCCCAAGAATCTTAAAACATTCAATGGATTCTTCTAACCACTCCATTAAATCTCCCGAACGCTTTTTGAGTAAACGTAAGGAGATTCAGACTGACAAAGACAAACTGATGATATCCTTAGATGTAGCAGCCGTGTTCACTTCAATAAAAACAAGTTTATCGAAAGAAACTCTATACCTGCCCCTAATCAACGACATAAATCTCCAAAAGTATACGAAATTTCAATATCAAAGTCTACTAGGACTCATTGGGTTTTGCTTAACAACAGATTTGCAAATCAACAAAAACGTCAACGAGCAAACTAAAAGAAACACCGATGGGACTAACAAAGTCAGGACTTATTGCAGAAGTAGTGATGCAGAGACTAGAAGCTTCGGTCTTTCTAGTAATCAAGCCAAAAAGAGTCATCCTCAGAAGAGACAGGCCGAAGATTACGATTTGATTAACCACATCTCTGATAATATAAAGTTGATGATGGAAAATGAGTCGATTAACAGACTGTCATTCCTGGATGTATTGATCATCAGAACCAATATGGGAAAACTGAAAACTCAAGCATATCGGGAGCCAACCAGCACAGATCTAATTCTCAACTACAGTAACAGAAACCTAAAAACTCACCAAATCAACAGTGTAAAAATTTTATTCAACGGAGCGAACACACTGTAGAACACAAAGCACGAAAAAATCAAAAGAAAAATTTGATGAATATCTTCCAAAAGAACGGCTATCCATGCAACTTCATCAAAATTTATCAACTCAAACCATCGACAGAACAGAAATCACATGGAGGAACCAACAAACAGATCACCCCTCCACGAATATTGAAGCATGGCTACTGAGACTATTTGGAATAGGTGCAGCACATAAACTAAGGGAATCACTTTAATCAGTCATATGTAGACCAAAGGACAAAATAACAAAAGAAAATCTAACATCATCTACGAAATTAATTGTGGAAAATGAGAAAAAACACTGCATTGGACAATATGGACGTCCTCTTCAGCTTCGCCTTTGTGAATATCAATTAGTAATCAAAAGCAATGACATTTCTTCGCTGTGGACATACATTTAATTGGAAGCTTGTCACATTGGCCAATCAGCAATCCACGAACACATAGACATTAATCCGATTTATCAGTCGATCAGAATACTAATAGACAAGCATAGGATCATGATCCATATATCAGTGGATAATGTCAAAATAAAGGTCAAGACAACGACCGATTAAAGGTCAATAACAACCAGTCAAGATAGAGGTCAGCTAGACAAGCTACTAGTCATACGTGAAGAAATTCTATTACTTCAATTCTACCCGAAGTTTTTGCTGCTGATGCTGTTCAGAAGAACAATGAAAGCTCCAAGACCAGACCATCCAGCTCATAGAACAAAACTCCACCATAATTACTGACTTACGCCCGTTAACCCCCCCCCCCGTCATTTCTGACCTGATCTTTTTTCCAGTTGTTCCTGATTACTGTTTATTCTTTTCATGTTTGACTCGCGTTCTCGGAGCAATTTATTGTTTGGTCAGCATTATATCCATTAACATTGAAACTCCCAAGTTAAGGCTTCCTTATCTTCAAGAGCTTCCTCGTCAAATGTGGTTCGGTTAGTGCTCACGATGTTGTATCTAATGTTCTTGGTTTTTCTTTTGTGTATATTGAGATTTACTACTGCAGAGGCTGCTGCTACAGTGGCCGTCGTCATCTGCACTAGTTATTGTGTGTGGTATAGTGTTAGTAAATCATCTGAGAAGTCTGAATTGTATTGCTGCATTAAAGCTGTCCAGTGTATTCCGTGCTTCCTCTGAGATTTCAGAGGTGTACTATAGTGTCAAAGTAGTTTCCATAAAGTTGACTTGTCAAATACTTTCTTCAGGTCAAGAGAGTTTATATGAAGTGATGTGTTCTATTCAACTGACTGTTCAACAATGACGCTCACTAAAAGTGAGAAATTCCGTTTGATTGTCTTATTAAGTGACACGTTAGATGAAAATCTAGGAAGGCATCTACGGTCTACAGTTCAGCATGTAAAACAGAATTAAAGTGTTTTGAAAATTCTGTTAAACATATTTTTCAGTTTCTAGAAATAAACAGGTCAGCTGAACTCTCCTACTATTAAATTATTTAAGGAAGGGCAGTTTATTGTCTATAAGAGAGAACATTTCTCATAGATTACTCAAATTTTGATAGATTCTATAAATTTACAATAAATCAAATTATTATTGTCAAATGAAATTGACCGAGAGAGAATATCCTTGCATGATACATTGATACTTCTATCAAAAAGATTATTAATTTAACTGAAACCTGAATAAAAATAAACTTCTGATCAAAAATTTGTTCTACTTGTGATGAACACAATTTGATGTCAACATAATCTTGCACTGGTGTGTGTGTGTATATATATACAGAGAAGCAATCGACAAATGACTAAAATAATAATCGAAGATCATTTTAATCTAACTTCTTATTGTCTTGACAATCTGTCTAAACGATTAAGCTTCATAATAAATGGCATTTAATAAAATGAACAGAATAAGAAAGACTGAATGATTTAAAGAAATATAATAATAATGTTTTGAATAAATCGAAACCTATCATAATCCTGAACAGAATTACTAAGATTGTTAGTAGAACAAAAATAGGTTTTTTAGTCTACGGTTGCTAACCATAATTAAATACCATCTAAAACGAATGGCAGATAATATAAACGCATCGGTTTAAAAGTATGATATGAGAACAACGAATAGTAATGTAAATCTCACTACTATAATCATGCTTTGAACAAAATATTGTTATACTAAATTAGACTATCACTGAACCCAACCATAGCTGTTACCTTGATGTGGTGGTAGGATTCGCCTATCATGATGACCCAACAGAGCTATGTTGGCTGTAACATGCGTTCCTGAAGGTTCTGTGATGCCAGAGAGGTCGATCGGAGAAATATGACACTCAAAACAGCTATGCAAGATTTGAGGGTAAATTAGCACTACTGACTGTAGAGAGGTGTGACGACAGTTTGGCGTTTCTCTCGGACAACCAGCATCTGCAGCGACACTGTCTTCTGACAAGAAAGAAAGGGGTTAGAAAAGATCGATCCTGGTCTCCTGAAAGCTCATTCTAAACTAAATGTTGGAGCCTTTAATGTCTGGACATTGTGTCAAATATGACAACAGGCTTCCTTAACTAGGACATTAGAATCTCGAGCTATCGATGTAAGCTGCGTCTCCGAAACGCATATGCATGATTCGAGTAGCATCATTCATTTGACCTCACCATGTCAGAAAAACCTAAAAGATTACAGTATTTCAAAGTTACTTACTGTTTGAAATGAATAACCAATACGTTTGATTATCATGGAAGTAACACAAATAAATGTTTGTTAGACATAAATCAATTTACTCAACTGTCCAACCGAAATAAACAAATCATCTCTAAAACTCGATTATGAATTCAAAGTTAGCTTGTTATAAATAGATCATTATTATTTGTTTATTAACTAATGAATAATTAGATTTATTATCTTAAAAACAATTTATACTGAGCTGAAAACTTGATTTCCTTTACTTTGGAATATTACAGATTCATCATCAATTTTATTACTAACAATCTAAGATTTCTATTTTAAATTATAAATTTTATGAACAACAGTCTAGTACAATTTTGGGAAACATTAGGTTCGAATTCGGACATACATGTTACTGAATTAGTTACTATGGCTATTAAATATCTGTGAAGAATCTTTGTTGCTGAAAATAAATCGAAGTTAATTGATAAGAAATGTTTTATCTAATAAACTGAGTCATTTTTTAGTGTAATGAACAAAGTGGAACTTTGAAATATCAATCCTAGAACGAGACTCCTCAGCAATGTGCATACACGAACCCGAAAACTTCCTGATTTAACCTGAGTAGAATTTTGAGGAGGAAGATTAGTGAAGAGTATTCAGACCACAGCTTATTATCATTACAAACTAAAATCGTTTGTAGAAGTACTGAACGGAAGTATTTACAAAATCACATGTTTATCAAAAGATACTTAATCTAGTATTTCTCTTTGTTTTAAATCTTTATTCAATAAGTTTCTTGCGTTTATGATGAGCATGACCATATACTTATATAATTTGTCAAGTTTTGTTATTTCTGTTCAGTTTGATCTTATCTAGAGATTGTCATGATAAAGTTAATTTTAATTTAAAGTATTAGTAACAATTAAAAAAATCCTGAGAACGACTGTTGAGTTCTAACAAAAAACATCAACCGTCAATTTACAATATGTGAATATAGAGTGATCCAAGATAAATATTTAGTCTGCGATTAAATGATGACGCTAAGCTAGGATAAGATTACATCTAAAAACACAACTGTGTCGTTAATTAATCAATATAAACCAGGCAATCGTTAATTTGGTCTTTTCAAATATATATATATATATATATCCCATGTGATCTCTGTGGATGAATATATTGCTGTCTTACTCTCACTCTCTGGGGGCTCTATTGAAGCTTCATAAGTTCCACTAGTCATAAATCTGTTGTAATAGTTGAAACAAAAAGTCCTACTTATTCAGTTACTGAAAGATTGTCTGCTAACTTTGTCATAAATTTTGCTTCAGTAGCATTAAAATAAAGCAAATAACTACAGGCTACAGGAGAAATGACATGAAGAAAGCATCAATTGTGTTAAAATTTAAGAAAAAGTAGAACCTACTATTTTCCAGAAAGTTGTATTTAGAAGTCCATCTTGTATTAATTGAAACGTAGTACAAATAGAATCAGGAGGCCACGGAACTTGTTCCATTACATTAAGTGAGTAACATCCAGGTGGTTCTGTACGAAATGTAACTTGAAAATGTTTTGTATAATTGTAAAATTTTGAAATAGCATCAACCCTAGAATCCCATATGATTCCAGGTTTAAGTTGGCATGATTTACTCGCTCCTTGTACAATATTCAATTTGGAATCCGTTCTATAATACTCCAGCTGAAGATATTTAGTCTGATGTTCTGTTAAGCAAATGGTCACTGCTGGTGGAGGGACACCATCTTTTGGAGCTCTTTGATCTAGTCGAACAACTGTTACATAAGTTAAATACTTGTGTATGACTACACTAACAGAGCTGACCAAAGCTATTACCATGCATGTAGCAAACAGAGCCCACAATGCCTTAACGGCTCTGTTACTATTGACAAACGTTCTGACAACCGGTGTCCATCCAGTTAAAAATTTTGGCTGTTCCATTTTAGAAATTGATTAACATTTACTCGAAGTAAGATTAAACAGTTTAATTTTATAGTAATCATTAGAATATCCTTGTTTTTTCTGACTTTGTTCAAGCGCTATTTCACAGAGAAATCTCATGATACGTTGTATCTGATCTAATCTGTATAATTCCCTTAACTGAGTTTCGTTTCTTAATGTCTGTACAAAAGCAGTTTGGTCAAATATTTCCAAAAAGCATCTAATTTATTTTATCTCTTAATCATTTTGTAAAATCCACTTAAAACAGAAGTTTAGGTTCCATGCATTTAAATACAGAGAAGCACGTATTTCTGTTTACATGTATAACAGACTTTTATATCTTTTATACAATAGTCGTGGTAGTAATATGATTTGCTTGATTCGCAATAACAACAACAGCAGTAACATGTGAGTGTGTGTCGTAAATGCATGTGTATGTAACTTCGATTAGTTGGGTCAATAAATGTGGACTAGATTGTTTCTCTCACGATCTTTCTTCCCTACACATTAAACCAATCATAAATAACTTCTTATTTAATGCTTAGAAATCTAGAAAATAGAGTGAAATAGACCATTCGAAACTCGATTACTTTTCAAAGATAAATATATGATAATCTGTATTACCAATTGTTTCCTATTTGTCTCTGGTCGAAAGATCTGCCAAGCTATAAGAACTATTGGAAAGACGTGTTTTAAGGTATATCGTTTCAGATTTTCTATTAACTATTTATGTAAAAAGAACATAAAAGGCTAGTTAAGCGTGAAATTCTGGGATTCTAGAAAGTTTAAAAAGATGTCATTGATTAATTCTGAATTTCGTATTCAAACAATCCCTGATAGTTTATCCTTCTGTAAACTATAATTTTAAAATTACTAAGCTAAAAGATATGGATTCAAGATATTTATTTTGTAAAGTTAGAAGAATCATCAAGTTATATGGTCAGTAAAGCATTACCAATGGTGTTGATGATTCACCTTAAATCCACTATATGTATGAGTTACCTTACAAGAAAATTTCACAACAATATCAGTGTGAGTAGACATTGAAAAACCTGCATACTTCTTGCAAGTCTTGCTTTATATGATACTCCATCCACTTCATTCACCTATTTCTCTTTGTATATCTTCTAACAGAACAAGACGCCAGTACACTAGGTCCATTCACGTAAGCAAAGATCTTATTTATAAGACGAACTTGTTGAAATATTCTGTGCTGAGAATTCGATATCCTGCTAAACATATAATATTGAATAAAGGTATTATTTCTATTATTACTATTGCATATATGATACGTGCATAATTTGCCCTTTTCTGATACTAGTTTAAACCTTCTTATTTCAGATACTTTACACCAACACTGTCATGTTTGTGACTAGTGATTCCATACAATCTAGCTCTTCCATTTATCTAAAAATAAGTAAAGTTATTCACTCCCTTTAGTTCTCTGACAGTCAGAAAGCAAACAGGATTTTATCCATTCTCTTCAAGTATGGTGGATTTGATATACCATTACCTCTTCTGAAGCTGTTTATTCTTTCTCACTATAGAGACTGGTATTTACTCTGAATGTCGGAAAACCTCAAAAAATAAGGCTGACATAAACAATTATCAGCTCATAAATATAGTTGCGATTACCTCTAGAACAATGGAAAAATATATTAGTGACTTATCACTGATTCCAAACACAACTTCCTTAAGACTCGAAGGTGCATGACCGCCTACTTTAACTTCTTAAATTTAGTCTTTATTCAAAACAACTGAGGACTTTTCTAAAGTTTTCGAAATGGTCAACCATCAGCTTATTCATAGAAAATTCATATCTTACTGGATCGGATAGTCTCTTCATGTTTAGTTTAATTCCTTCCTCATTCACCGACACCAGAGAGTCAGAATAAACCCCTGTTTGTCGGGTACTGTTCCGGTTAAAAATGATTTAGCACAAGGCACTGTTCTACGTCCCTTGCTTTTTTTTAGCCTAAGGGAGTGGTAATTACAATTGCTTCGGTGCAAGCAAGCCTCTAATATACTCAGATGAATTTAAAGTAATGTATTTATCTTCCCCTCATCAGCTGAACAATCTGAAAAAACTACATCAGTATGAAGCTCAGTCAAGAAACTGGAAATATCTATACTATTCTAATCGTTGCTCAACGATTCAAAGATATTTTAAATCTCTCTTGATTTTATATCTTCATTTCGATGCTTAGCATTGACATCTAATGAAATATTTGAAAAGAATTCTGGGGCTATGATAAACAGGTTATTTAAACTTCATCCAACGATGAAACCTGTTTAATAGAACAGCGTATTGATACTATAATAAGTCTACATTCATTCTTATTTATACGAATGTCTTGAACGATTTGGCATCTTTCCCAGTGTATAGCCAATGAGTAAAACAGGATAGTAAGTGAATATGATACTTAAATACTCGTTTAGACTTCTGACCAGCTCTTCTTAAAAATAAAATGAATACTTAGTACATATATATGAATGGAGAATATTCTTTTCCATAAATTCGCATCAGATTTTGCTTTTATGCAACTTCATTAATAATCCCAAAGATTGAACAGGTTTAAACTAAATATATTTTCAAAATCACAACGTATGAATATTGGATTGGGTGTAAAATAATTCTCTCCCAAAGTCTGTCAGATTTAAATTCTCTCAAGTGGTAGAAGCGACAGCAGTTTGAACAAAGGACCGAAGCTATATTCACTAAAGACATATTTTCAGTCCGTTCTCTTATCTTAGCCTACATCAAGTCCAATAAGTCAGTATTCAACTTAATTATAAGATAATATAATTCGGCTAATATACATAACTAAAATTTATCTAATTCCAATATTATTGTCACAGGTATTATTGTTCACATATCTTTGTATTTTACATCATTATCAATCATCCAAATATGTGAAGGTTTGGGTTATTACTCACTCCCCAATCCAATATTTTTTATTAGGTTCATATCGACTCTTTCACTACGTAGTTTTCTAACAAACATTTAATCTGATTTGTAATTTTATTATTCTTCCTCTTTTACCTTACTTACTTACTTACTTACGCCTGTTACCCCCAATGGAGCATAGGCCGCTCACCAGTTTTCTCCAACCAATTCTGTCCTGGGCTTCTCTCTCCAGTTTTGTCCAATGTTTGTTCATTCCTCTCATATCTTTCTCTATTTCTCGGCGTAGTGTGTTCCTTGGCCTTCCTCCTTTCCTTTTGCCTTGAGTGTTCCATGTGAGGGCTTGTCTTGTGACGCAGTTAGGTGCTTTCCGCAATGTGTGTCCTATCCACTTCCACCGCTTCCTCTTTTACCACATAGTACTTATATTTGTGCGGATCAGTAACTTTGTAATCGCCTTCAACAGATAACATTGCATATTACTTCTGTTTTGCTTCAATCAGTTCGTAATATTGCACAACCATCTTTCAAGTACTTACCCATCAATTAAATTGAAAGATCATGGACTAACATTAAAATTATGAACGTCAATAGTTTAGTAATAGTCTCTTAGGAAAAATATACATATAATTTGTACAAAATGATATTGACAAACTATTTCACGAGATTGTAACAAATTAAGCACACTGAACGAGACATTTCGAAATTGTATGAATATAACTCTTTTGTCTGACAATTTGTCTGTTAGTCAAAGTATGAAATAAAAAGGTTTGACTGGAAAATTTTGTACTTCTTTTGAATGGGAAAGACGTTAAAAACATAAAATGCTTATATTTATCTACTCTAAAATAAATGTTTCTTAAGAGCTTAGATAATTTGATAATGATTTTTCTTAGATATTTTCAAGTATTCTTTCTAATGTGTACAGGTATAAATCCTATGTATATGGAACTCGCTACTTGTCTACAGGTCAAGTTTAAGATATATATATATATATATATATATGCGCAAGTTTTGTGAATTATATACACGAGGTTTCTAGAAATTCTTCTGAGAAACTGTTTTCTGTGGTTCTGACAAAGTAGAATTTAGGATAGGTATATTCTAAGTTCAGTCAAATAACCTACTGTAAAACAGTGACTTACTTATTGGACGCTGTTGTAATTTGTGTAATTTGTGTAGTTGATTGTCTAGGATGATAAACCAGAAAATAGAAGTTAATAAGTATTCTCTGTTTCCCTACAACTGTTTAGTTAGCATCAATGTATTACGATACCTGCCTTACAAGGCAACTCTGTGAATTACTAATACTAAACGAAATTGGCAGCAAAGAAATTAAGAAACCAATGTTCTCATCTAGTTTGCGAAATACTGCAAATAGTGAAAACTACCGTAAAATAACCCAGATTTTTGTAAAATGATGAAAATGTTTTTGTTCTCAGCGGACTGATGAAAAAAATCAGGAAGATTTTAAGTTGTCTGTACTCATTATTTTTTTAATTTTCTAAACTTCAATTACTAAAATCTTGAATGAAAATTTGGTGTTAGCCTTTCTGTACATTTTTCTCTTTCTCTCCCTAAATGAATATAACCTAAGATTTCTTATTTTATCTTTAAAAAATTAACTATTAATTCAAATATAAATAAAATTGTTTAGCAATTGTCTCATTTAACTGCATATATTTATCGACCGTGTTTCATCTTCAAACGGGTGATGTGAAAACGATTTATTCCATTGAATACCTACTGAATAATTTTTCAGGTACTAGGCTTTTATACAATTCAAAACTTTACAAGTATAACATTTTCTCTTGAATGGATTTGCTTGACATCTAAAGAAATGTCAAAATTACAGAGCGTACACAACTTTCTGAGCACACAATTCGAGGAATCATGTCACGTAATTAAAACTCTAGTGAAAAATAAAATCGGAAATGGTATTGATTGGTTCCTACATTTTCAAGCATTTCGTTTTAACACATGAGACTTAACATTCACAGCTACATCTGTAACGAGCAAATTAATAACATACTTCAGTTTAGCATTATTCCACCCTAAGTATTTTTATGCTTTAAAGTTATGAGTCTGTATGTTTTCAATACTCACGTTTGTTGCATTTTTTATTTAGGACGACTCTTATTGTGCACACTTACTGTCCCATTTAGATTCTGAAAACACATAAAACTGTTAAAATTGTGATAACTGTTTGCTGTTAAGATAAGAGAATTAATGTCACTAGTTCGTTTAGTTTAGAATAATACTTTCTGAAACATTGGCGATTTTCATTCAGACAAACTTATCCTGTAACTGAATTCTACCACTGAGATATTTATTTCTTGAACGTTTAGTTGTATAGTTAGTTATCTGAATGCACTGACTGATCAGTTGATTGTTACA